GTTAACTGTGGTATATGGAGGGGATTATAATCAATGTAATGAAACAAGTTATATGAATGGTTGAATGTGAAACTGATGTTGCGCCCTGTAAACTTCCACTCAATCCACAATAAAAACCTTAAATTAAAAAAAAAAAAAAGTCTGTTGTCAACATTGAAAAGCAAATTTCTTCACTTTGGTTAGGGTCTAAGTACCAACACTTATAATAGAATATTTTTATTTTAGATTTTAATTACTAAAATAATTCAACTGAATAACTGTGTTCCTAAACAAAACTATAAATTAAAGATATGTCTATCTCCTGTTTCACTAGACCCCACAGACAGAAATTACATGTGAGTTTCTTGTTACATTAAAGGCACTACGGGAATCTAGAATCAATTCTTAAGAGTGGTATAATGGGGAAAAACAATAAATGGAACTTCTTTGTTGTTGCTGTTGTTAAGTGCCGTTAAGTTGGTTCCGACCCATAGTGACCCTGTATAGGGTTTCTGAGGAGCAGCTGGTGAGCTTGAACCACTGACCTTGTTAGGGGCATGATAACAGAAAAAGATTTTCAAGAAAATAATGAGAAAAAGTCCAAGATATTTGCTTTAGTGAAGTTGTTAACTGCCTTTAAGCTTGTTCTGATTCCTAGCAATCCTGTGTAGGGTTTCTGAGGAGCAGCTGGTGGGGCTGAACTTATGACCTTTGCAGTCCAATGCTTATCCTACAAGTGCCACACCAGGACTCCTTAGTGGAGCAGTAAGCTCCTTATTATGGCTAGACACTTATCTGCAGATGCTGGGAGTGGATGATGGAGAAGGATAAGATGGAGCTTTTAATGTTGCAAAATACTCAGAACTCATGTCTTTCTCATGTCTTCTCTCCATTTCCACTGCATACAGTTTGAGACCAACTACTGTGTTTTATACTTCTTTGTTTTTTCAGAACATATGAAGAGGCTTCAAAAAGTTCATGGAAAAATTCTATTACCTTTTTAAAAAATTCCATTATTATTTTATTTTCCACAAACTCTTTTTTTGAGCCTTCTCGTACTAAGCACTCTGCCTAGAAGGCTACGCCATCCCACTCATATCTTAGAACTAGTCATCTTTTAAGACCTTCCTCTCAAATGATCGCTCCACCAGAAAACTTTCCTTAACTGCATTACCTTCTCCTTAGAGTTATGTACTTGCTCTTCCATATTCTGTAAATATACTTATACTGTGTTGCAATTTTTCTATGGCCTGTCTTCCGTTTAAGCTTATAAGATCTTTAAAGGCACAAGTGATATACAAATAAATTCTTTCCAGAGGTAACAACAACTTAGTTAACAAATATTGACTGAGTGGCTACAGGCACTGTTCTAGAAGCTAGGATGCAGCAATAAACAAAGTAAAAAAACAAAAAAACAAAACTTGCTTTTATGGAATTTATATTCCGATGGGGAAGAAGGAAAACAAAGTTATTAAGTACATGCAGCAGTTAACACAACAATAATAATAGTGACCACATATATCACTTACTATAGTGAGGTCTGGTAGCGTAGTGGTTACGAATCGGCCTGCAAACCTTAAGGTCAGCGGTTTGAAACTACCAGCCGCTCCACAGGAGAAAGATGAGGCTTTCTACTCCCGTAAAGATTTACAGCCTCGGAAACCTTGTACAGGGTCGCTATGGGTCGGAACCAACTCGACGGCACTTATTAACAATAAGTGAGGTACTGCTCTAAGCACTTTAACACATATTTATCTTATCCTTACAACAACCTATAGATAGAAATGATCCTATCTTACAAAGAAATTGATGCACAGGAAAGCCAAGGTCTTTCATCTTAAAAGTGAGAGTTAGTATACAAACTTCGGCCAATTGACTTCAGAGTTTTGTTCTTTTAACTATGATGCTACTGTGCTTCTTTGTAGTAAGTTAGGTGAGGGAATTTTTATGGAAAAAATAAAGCAAGTTTAAAGAGAATTGGGGGTGGGATGGGTGTGGGAAGAGGAAGGCATTAGTAATATGAGATTGAAAACACAGTGGTCAAAGAAGGCAGATTTTGGACGTATTGTGAAGCAAGGATCATAGGATAGACCATGAATCAGTACATAGGAGTGTGAGAAAGAAGGGAATGGAGAAACTTCCAAAATTTTTGACCTGAGCAACTAGAAAGATGGATGTACCCAAACTTGGAAATCTGGGGGAGAAGTACATAAAGAAAGAAAAATTAGAAGTCTGGTTTTGATCATGCTAAGTTTGGGTGTTTATTAGACATTCAAGTAGAACTATTCAGTAAGCAGTTGGATAGACAAGTCTGTAGCTCAGGGAATGGTTCAGAATAGAAGCAGT